AAAAAAAATAAAAAACATTTTTGTCAAAAAATTGGGGGGGTCCAGGTCCCCCCAGGACCCCCCCTCCCACCTCCGCCCCTGCACATACGTCACTAGTGACGAAATCAAATAGGATCTACCCCATTATGTGGGCACGTTCATCGTAGTCCCCAATCACGTAATATTGGCTCACATTCAAACGCCAAAGTCAAGCAGCCCATAATTGGGTTACTAATCTATTGGAAATATAGCGAATAGGTTCTAAATCTATTACTTTTGACAGTTTCAGTTTCAACCTCTTTGTAGCATTTGAGTTTCAAATCGACCATTCTACTCTTATCTTCAATTACAAACTCTTTTTTTTTTTAATTAAAACCACGATTTCACTATTACGGTAAAAAAAATAATTATAATAATGCAAAAATAAAAATAAAAGGTAAATTTGTTTATTACAAGTAAAGGACAATCGTGAAAATTTTAGTTAAACTTGAAACATAAGGTTGAGAAGCCACGACTATCAAAATATAAGGTTGGGACCTACTTGCTATGTCCCTATAATCCTCACCTCGACCCACACCATCTAGCTTCAAATTAGATGTATACAGTCTTTTTCAAATACTAAATTATCAACAGTGTTTAAAAGTTTTATTTGTTCTAAACATGGATTTTTGCTAATGTAGCCCTTGTTTGACACTTATTTTGGAGAAGAATTTGATTTGGAACAGTGATTGATGGAAGAATGTGTGATTAAAAAGTAAAGAGAATTTTTGAGTTTGTATGTAGAGTGTGTTTGGTAGGGATTTTTGGAGAAAGAATTGATTTTTGAATAGTGATATGATGGGAAATGTGTGGTTGAAAAAGAAGAAAAAAGTATTGATGTGATGGAAAATATTATTTTATTGAAGAATATGTGGTTGAAAATGAGAATTGATTTACTGTAGAAAACACTTAACTTAAGGAGTGTTTGAGCCACGTTATTTTGGAAAATTGTATTCTGAAATAATAGATTGATGGAGAATGTGTGGTTGAAAAAGAAGGAAAAGTTATTGATGTGATGGAAAATATTATTTTATTGAAGCATGTGTGGTTGAAAATTAGAATTGATTTACTGTAAAAAATGAGAATTTTTACCAAACAGGCTCGTAATATTATTTTATTGATAGACTGTGAGGTTGAAATGAAAAAATAGAAAAAAAGGAGAAAGAGAATGAGAATGAGAAAAAAATGGATGTCAAACAAGGGCGTAGTGTTTTGATAATGACATTGTGAGGATTTGACATGAATGAAATCTCTGATGTTCCTTTTGTTTTCTTCTTCTTTTTTATTTCCGTCCTTCATCCGTTCGATATATACTTAACTAAGATACGAGCACTACTCGAAAGACCAGTATAAAATTAATATTTTGACAATCAAATTGATGAAGCTATCTAGCAGTTACCAAAAATGCAACAAAACGAAAAATTGGTAATGGCATGTCAAAAAAATAGCTTGTAGGTGAAATTGCAATAAGATCAAAAGGCTGGGACATATGGTACAATTTCTAATTACGTGGATCACTTTATTCTTTCATTCGTCACCGATGACTGTAAAAGTAAAACCTCCCCCATGGAAAATTATTTATATACATTTGCAAGTGCATGGAAAAATTATAATTAAGCCCGATCATCAATATTCGGATTCTCTCAAGATTAGCAATGGCCACTCCGTAAGTTCTTCATCGCTCATCTGAACGTGCTTGAAATTTTCTGGGATAATTATTTTGTACTGATTTTAAACTCATCGTGTTAATTTTATTTTTTGCGACTTGATTTTTTAAATTAAATAGTGTAAAACTTCAAACGCGGTGTTAGATTTTGGACGGAGGGAATACATGAGCATTGATCTGTTTTTCTGTATTTTCAGAATTTGTGAATTTAAAACGTATAATGATGATTATTAATAGCGATGCTTTGAATTTACAGAAGCGTGCAAGAGGTTCTTCCTCCATCGTTGGATTCTACATCTGAGCCACCGCCTCTGTTTGATGGAACCACCAGGTACTCCTATTTATAAAATTTGCTCTTTGATAAAAATAATCCCATGAAAGGTTAAGAGGGTATGTTCAAGAGACAAGACTAAATTCAACTAAATAAATTCATTTCCTTCCTCTTTAATAACTTGAGCTTTGACACTTAAATTTAGTTTTTAGAATTCCATTCTTCAACTATTTAGATTGGATTTTTTTTTTTTTTGGAAGGTTGTACATCAATTACCAGTGCCCATTTGCCCAGCGGCCGTGGATCGTCAGGAATTATAAGGTCTGTGGTTAACTTATCTTTCACTGTGCTTATTTAATTTTTTTTTTTTTTACTACAAGTGTTGTGACCTTGATTTTACTTGTGATCAATCCTAATATTAATTCCCTGAAATCTTTACCCATAGCGTTCCTATTGGCATGGGTCGCGGAGTGTGATGCTTATAAGAGCATCTTCAATGCAACAATGTATATTCTTGTACATTTAGTAATAAAAATGGGATGGAGAAATGAACATCTCCCATGGGGCTTTGGATTGAACTAATTGTGGGCCTATGTACAAGAGAGAGGATGTAAAGAAAGATTGATGATAAATTATGCTTGTGTTTGACGCCCATTTTGAGGAAAAAATGAATTCTGGAGCAGTGATTGATGGAAAGAACGTGTGGTTGAAAAGTAATAAAAAATTTTAGATTTGTGTGTAATATTATTTTATTTGGAGAATGCCTGGTTGAAATAAATAAAGAAAAAAAAATGAAAAAGAGAATGAGCGTCAAATAGACTCTATAACATTTTAAATCAACACATCCTCCAAAGATAAATTATGAAAAATTAAGTGGAGGATGTTATTCCTCTTCCTCAACCTTTTTCTATGCCATGTAAGCATTTTGGGGGTGATGTGGCATTCTTTTTAGTGCACCCCTGTCCCATTAGAGATGCTCACATTTAAGCAGTATAAACTGGAGCTCTAGTGGAAGAATCAGGAATGTTAGATTGTCTCTTCTCATGAACCTCTGTAACTTGTAAAATATTAAAGAATTAGAACTTATAATGTGTTTGCCATCTGTTGGTTTTAAGATTGCTTTACATGTGCTAAAATTACGGTATGTATCAGAATAAATGTGACACAATCAGTATGATATGCTAAGCGAAATTCAAAATGCAAATGTTTTCCAGCTTCGATTTTTTGCCAAACAAAGTTGCAAAACATACGTTACTCTGCCGGGAAATGCAATGTATTGACTGAATTGTTTTTTGTTTTAACATTCTGATGCATAGGGTTTACACGACAAGATCAAACTGGTCCCCATTGACCTCCAAAACAGACCCGCATGGTACAAGGAGAAAGTATATCCTCAAAATAAGGTAATCATTCTTGGATTTGCAGGGTCTCATGTCTTCACTTAGTATTTCATTTGATTTCTTGTAAGAATAAGTGCTCTACGTATGGAATAAAAAATTACAAATGTGAGTAGTTCTCGTAATATATTCCACCAAAGTCTTCGGATGTTGGACTTACTGCCCCGAGCCATGGTTGATGCGAATCGATGAACGACAGTAATAGTTTACTTTTCTTGCGAAGTTGCTTGATATTTGTACTGTTAGTGTTGATTGAAAGGATTCATACTACTTTCCAAGAGCTAACATCAGCATATTTACACGGTGGAGACAACATTCCACCCTGCTAATGTATCTTATATACTGTTATATAGGTGCCATCGCTGGAGCACAACGGAAAAGTCATTGGAGAGAGCCTGGATGTGATTAAATATGTGGATAGTAACTTTGAAGGACCAGCTCTCTGGCCTGACGTAAGATGCCAATTTGATGTGCTCTAGATAAACTTTTCTACCTCTCCCCCTCCCTTCTCCGTGCATCTCTGAAACTAATGGAAACAATGCATAATGTGAAATTTCTCTAGGATCCTGACAAACAAAAGTTTGCTGAAGAACTGCTAGCCTACATTGATACGTTCGTAAAAAATGTGTTTGGGTCATTCAAAGGAGACACAATAAAAGAAGCTGGTGAGCTTATAGACTTTTGCAAGTTCATTTCATGCACAGTTCATGGAGATATCCTTGAATTATATAAAATCTGGTTGTTACTGTGCCAGGTGCTGAATTTGACTATCTGGAAACAGCTCTTCAGAAATTCGATGATGGGCCATTCTTCCTAGGCCAGTTCAGTCTGGTAAGTGAGTCTTCTTTGCCGAGGTGCATCTCTCCTTTCACGTCAACTCGGGGGAAAAAAGTAGTATATGCCCTCTTAAGAATTAAAGCTCTATCTGGGTTGGACGTGATCGAAATTTAGGCCTTGCTTTAACGAATATACCCAATTTTAATGAGCATGTATTTATATTTCTTATCCAATTGGTTTATGTTGAGTCTTTGTATTCAGGTGGATGCTGCTTATGCTCCATTTGTTGAAAGGTTTCAAATCTTTTTACATGAAGTGTGGAAGTATGATATTACATCAGGCAAGCCCAAACTAGCAGCATGGGTCAAGGTACTTTTTGTCATAATCTTATTGATAATGGGAATAAATTGACTGAGAATCAATTTCATTATTTCTTGAGCATTTGATTATGCACTGCAATCTGCTGCTGTGCTTGCTGGAATTGGTTTAGCTTGTTATTTTGGGGATTGGAGTTGATATGAGTTTGTGTTGACGTGAACATCTGGATGGACCTTGGCACCTGTAAGACTAGGTGTTTTCCTTTGATGCCTACGTTATGACCAAAAAAAGTGGAATATAAACTGGACTCAAACGAAATTCAACCTGAGATTAAAGAAAAATGAAAAGTAATGTAACATTTATAGTAGTTTAACGAGCTTCCCTCCTCCAGGTCCTAATATTGGCGAGATATCGAATGGATGGCAAATGTTACACAATTGTTGACTTCTTCAGATTAATTAATGAGAAACACATGTAACAGTGAATGAAGCCACTATTAAGACTTAAGTTTCATGATCTTGTCATTGATGAATGTGATGATGTTTACTTTTTACCATCCCTTACTGTACTTCATCTTAAAGTTTTAACATTTTACTCTGTTCGGGTCTCAACCAGGTGGTGAGTTTATATTTATGCACGTAGAAAATGAACATGATGGTGCCTTGTTATCGCTTATTCATCTTTATAATGCTCCTATGTTGAGTACTGGATCTTGAGACTCAATTTTCCTCATGCAGGAGCTGAATAACCTTGATGCTTACAAGCCAACGAAGTGTGATCCTAAGCATCTTGTTCAGTTATATAAAAGCTACTTTTTGGTAGTTTCTCTTGCCCATTGGCTGTGTTTGCTTAGAGAGTGGAAACTAACGTGCTCTAATTCCACACGCTGTTTTTTTTTCCCAGGCCCAAACCTAAGTTGTGATGTTGATAAAGGTGCTGCAAACAGCCGTTTTCAAGTCGCTCTATAGCTATGTTCGATATATTGTTGGTTGTAGTAAAGACTATACTGCATTTACTATACTTGGCTTGTAATGAATAATGTGTACTTTGTTGAAAAGTACAGTAATATTATCTTTAAATAAAATTATTAGTTCGACAATATATAATTTTTCTTACTATTAAGGTTTATTGTCAAACAAAATTAATATTATCAATGGAAGTAATTTTGACACATCAAAAACACTAACGACCTGTGAAAGAGTTACCACTTGAAATTTTTTGTGGGATATTCACTATAAGCTCCTGTATATTCATGGGGATGAGTTCACCGGCACATGGCTAACATAACCGGGATTTGTAGGATTCCGAGACTATGCACAAGAGTTATAGTATGCAATCTATACGAGGATAAAGTTGAGTTAATAGTTCTCTGAATTCAAGAGAAATTCGCGGAATTCTTCTAAAGAATTTTGCAAATCTAATTACATACAAATAAATATCCAATCCTATCATTACACTGTCACGTTTTATGGTTTAGTTCACAATCTTGAATTGACAATACATTATAACTTTACAAAACCAAGCATCATGGAATCAACCTTGCTACATTGCCAGATAATTTTGCCACCTTCCTTGACATAATGCATTGGCCAGCTTAACAAACAGTCAACAGTGTCATCCAATCACTAGTTGTCACATATCATTCTGTCATCCAAGATGTTAAAAATATCTGGCAAAGTAGATTAATTCTCATGGAATAGCCCAAGATATGCTAGAATATTGATAAACCCCCACACAAGTCACATCATAAAATAGCCTATACATTCTAATTCAAACCACTTCACGATGTACCGTGAAGTACCACCTTCTGACAAAACTGACGAGAATAAAGAACCTATTTCCACAGCATATAATCAGTACGTGTACCTATTTCCAATGCTTACACCTCATAGTGATCTTTTGGTATGTTCTCTCTCAAATCTGGTACCACCACTTTGTCTCTCGTTGCCATCTCGTTTTGTTCGAGGTGGAGTAGGAGGTGCCCAGCGGGAATCCTGGATTGGCTGTGTTGTAGGATCATATTTCTGTGAAGCGAGATAAGTCAAAGCTGTGACAACATCTGCGATCGCCGGTCGCATGTCAGGTTGGTCCTTAACACACATAGCTGCAATAGAAAGAGCTTGGAACAGGCCCCTCGTTGGATACTGCCCTTGGAGCATTGGATCAGCAATCTGTGAGAATTTCCGCTTATCCTTGAACAAAGGCCTTGCCTGGTACAACACCAACCAAATTATGTTTTCGGAAAACCAAAAGAATCTTAATTAAACAGAGGTCTGCTCATTTTCGTTTTCTTCAAGGGTGTAGCATTAGATTGGGAGGTGGCAGAGGGTGGGGGGGTGTTTATGGAGGAAGAAAATGAAATTCTTATCTTTTATTTTTTTTCATTTTTTTGTGTGGGCAAATATGTCACTTCATGCCAGCTTAACAAAAATTTTGGACGAAAACCTTCATTTGCGACCAGGGGTTCTAATGTATGGAAGGTTAGAGGCAATAATATCAAGAAACACAGGTTTGAGGGTAGACGTGCAAAAGAGGGTCAAGGTTGGACAACACGGCCACAAGTTAGCCTTAAATATACTGTCCAAAGTAATGGTGACTTATCACAAGGCTAAAGCCATATTACAAGAATAAACGACATGTTTGCCAAGCTTTTAAGCAACTTTAATAATGTTGTTAGCATATTAAATTCATGACTAGATATTTTCCTCATTTCCGACGTTGATTTGATAGCTAGTGTATGTTAAAGTTCCATTATAAAACTCTCCGCAGCTTCTGACCATTCCAAAACCATTTCAACAAAAAACCTGAATAAAAATCAGCTAAAATGAAAATATATGATAAAAGTGGATATGAATCTCACCCATGCTACCAGATTCTGCTCTCCACCAGTTTTTGAATTTTCAATGGCTTTTTTGCCTGAAATAATCTCGAGAAGAACAACCCCAAAGCTATAGACGTCTGATTTAGGAGTCAGCTGTCCAGTCATTGCATACTCTGGTGCACAATACCCGTAGGTTCCCATAACCCTTGTGGAAACATGAGTGTTATCCCCAACTGGACCGAGTTTTGCCAACCCAAAATCAGATAGCTTTGGATGGTAGCCTTCACCAAGCAAAATATTCGAGCATTTCAAGTCACGATAAATAACAGGAGGGCTAGCTTTATCGTGTAAATATTCCAACCCTTTTGCTGCTCCAGCTGCAATTTTCATTCTCGTGTTCCAATCAAGTAGTTTCTTACCAGGGATAGGATCTGCAAAACAAGCATTACAAGTTTAACTATCTGGAGCAATTCTAATAATGGCAAAATACGAGCACGTTTTGCGAAGTTTAAAAGTTTACTTCTAAGTTAACAAGTTCAAAAATAATGAATTTCTTTATTGGCTAAAGTAGGAATTAGCTACACATATCGACAAAAAGGCAAAAAAAAAAAAAAAAACAAAGTTACTCTTCAAAAGAAAAAAGGTGGAAAAAAAAAAAACCTTTTTTACGTGAAAGTAGGAAACGATTTATACATATCCATAATCCATACCTATTTGAAAACAAAATATTACATAGTGCTAGTTTAGGAAGCTTAAACAGCTGCTATCAACAATTAATTCTAAGAGCACATTTCACAGGATTTACAATTTCTATCAACTTTTACCGAAATTTGCTAAAACTTTATCAAAAGCTTTGTCAAACAACCCCTTAATAACTTTCATTTATTTTTTAAGCTTAGCCAGACATGATCCGCATATTAACACCAAATGTGTATACCATGAAGATGGTCCTCCAAAGATCCGAGAGGCATGTATTCATAAACTAGAAGTCTCTGATCTCCATCAGCACAGTAGCCAATTAAATTAACAAGGTTGGTATGGTGCAGTAGACTCAACATCAATACTTCAACAAGAAATTCATGGTTACCCTGCAGTCCACTGCGATCGAGTTGCTTGATCGCAACAACCTACAACATACAAAAACGTCAATACTCCAGTATCAACTTTGAGGCTAACTGCGTCGAATGCACTGCACTTGACTGGTCAATAAGGTTGAATCTGACCTCAATTAGAAATGTATTTAATGCAAGAAAAAGTTCAAGCAAAGTAATCACTTGTTAGTGAAAATAGGGCCACTATGGAATCGTGCATAAATGCACATACCTGATTGGACCTCCCCAGACGCCCTTTGTATACTCTACCAAAACCTCCCTCCCCTATAAGGCAATCCCTACGAAAATTCCTAGCAGCAGCTGCCAATTCGCTAAATGTGAAAGTCTTAGCCGCAATTTGATTGGATCCTCCATCTTTAGTAGAATTCCTCAAGCTATCTGAAGACAAAAGACATGATGAATGCAGAGAAAATACAGAAGAATACGATTGAAAGCAAGCAAGAAAATAAAATTTCACTTGTCAGAGTATTGAAACCTTTTCACTTTATGAAAATATCAACTAAATGAAGAGAACTCACGTATCAACACCAATGCTTCTCTAATTAATGATAGCATTTCTTTTCGCACTAGTTCGGCATATTAACATCCCATTATCATTACCACTGAGAGCATGTTTGGCTAAGCTTAAAAAGTAAACTTAGACGTCAATAAGTAAGTTTTAAAATATATAATTGTATTTTCCCGGTTCAGACGAGTTTGAGGGCGGCATTCACCAGTTCAACCTGTTGATTTCCAAGAAATATTCTGTGGGTAGTCTATTTCAACAAAAGCTTGAAATTCTCATCAAATATCAATACCCTATGATCACTCCACAACTTCATCTCTTGTAGCAAGTCAATCTAAGCTAAATTAGAACAATCAACCCGAATATAATTCTTCAAATTTCAAATTGAATTTGATACTTGACTAAAAAAAGGGGAACGACCTCGCATAAGGTTTCGAGTTTCAACTAGTTCAAATGTACTCGACATAATATACGGCGCATAAAACCCCCCAAAAGTTCAATTAAATAATCATCTTCGAACATGTCTATAAACACAAGGCTGAAATATATTCTTCAAATATCCATGTAATTAAGAGAAACGAGTATGATACAGTAATTGGGTAATTTGAAAAAATAAATCTTGAAAGTAAAAGAAATAAGTACCTGAAGTAGATTGAATTTGATTCTGTATTTCTTTCTTCTTCCTCTTCTTTTCCGATGCCTGGTTTGATGAACCTGAGCATGGAAACCATCCCATCTAGTTACACACACACAGAGATAATCTTTTGCTTTAGGTTTTCTGAAACTGTAGTGTGTGATGTTAACGGGGAGAGTGGCAGCAATGGGTTTACTCTTCCGTGCTTCTCTACAATTTCCATTTGGGAAAAATTACAGTTGGGTCCCAGCCTATTGGAAATGTAGCATGTAAGCAGGGTATATTTGTTTGAATATTTTATTTCTATATTTATATTATTAAATATAAATATTTAGGCCCTATTTGGGAGGAATTAAATTTTTCTACAGTAAATCAATTCTCGTTTTCAACCACACATTTTTCAATAAAATAATATTTTCCATCACATCAATAATTTTTTCTTTTTTTTNCTTATCTTCTTTTTCAACCACACATTTCCCATCATATCACTATTCAAAATCAATTCTTCTTCCAAAAAGCTCTCCCAAACAACCTCTTAATAAATAGCTTAACTAAGTCAGGATAGTGAACATGTTTTCGATCCCTCCCCCATTTCCTACTTTGGACAAAATCTCCCACCCCGCTCTATCCACTCAATCAACCAAAAATTCTCCATCCCAACCTATATATTCATGTCATCATGTGCCCCGCTCAAACCACCTGATCAACAAGAAAAATTTCGTCCCAACCCATTAAACATCTACATCAAAAATATAAGCGCTAAACCATACATTTCTTGGGGTGGGTGGATCATTTAAGGTTATTTTGTGTTATCTTATGTTTAAACATATTATAATTACATATATGTAATAAGAAGATTAGAAACTTTTTTGAAAAGGGTTTCAAAAGTTGGACAATTCGAATCTATTTCTAGCCATTTTTTAAGGGGTGAACATCAAAGTGTTTATTTTTTTTTAACCAATTATAGCACGTCTAGAATAATATATGTAAAATAAATGCGGCGTAATATAAAAATATATATTTTAATATTGTAATTAATAAAATTAATGGTGTAAATATAATATCCAAAGAAAAAGGAAAAGAACGATCAATTGGGGTTTTGACCTTTTTTTATTTATAACTTTTCTCCCTTTATTTCTTGATTTTCGAAATTGAACATACGAGTAAAGTCGTTTCTTCAAGAAAAAAAAAGAGTTTTGAATTAACGAAAATCGTACAATTGGGGACCCCAAATGTTATAAAATGAATGGTTGGAGATTGAGATTGTCAGAATATTAGGTTGAGGATCTATTTGCAATATCTCCTTTATATAAAGAAAAAGATACAGAAGGTACTTAAAATTAGCCAATAAATAAATAAATAAATAAAATTTACTAACTAATGCCTTTTGGTTGACCTGGTCTAAACCCTATCTACAACTTGTCTTTACTTTTCTTAAAAGATTCTCCATTAATAATTGTTATTGGATTCCTCGACGTTAGAATACTGGTTGACTTGACTCATTTTTTAAATTACCACAAACTATTTGAATATTCACCTTCGCCACAAATTCTTTACGTGACACAATCAACACCAATGGATGGACATGATCAACAACAACCACTTTCAACTTTAATGAATCCATGGTCATGATGAATTTTTGTACTCACTCAGTCGCAATGGCGGAAGAGGTGGTGGCCAATATGGCTAAAACCACTCGATTTCTACGTGGAAGAAAGAGTTTTGAAATTAATAATTAGTTGCTGACATTCAGTTTCATATTCTTTAGTACGAACATAAGTCTTCTTGAGTTTCTATGTGGCCTTCTCATTCCGTAGCTAATCTCCATTTATACAAACATGAATATTGAAAATTGGAATTGGAGGGAGGAAAACAATCGAAACATGAGATTTATCATATCCAAAACAGTGAAACCAAATTTGGGCCTCTCTTCACATAAATAAAGGGGTAGGTGTGGATTGAGTTGAGTTTGATCGATTTTTTTCATAATCTAAAGTCAACCTAATATGATCGATTTGATTTTAAATCAAATCAAACCAAACCCAATTGGATTGATTGGTTTGGACTTCAACCCAATAAAAGTTGAATTCGATTACTTTTTGTTGAATTTAGACAATTTTTCGAAGTCTGAAATTACTTGAAAACCTTTATTTATTTTTAAAACATATATAAGGAATTATTCTGAAAAATATATAAATAAATTTAAAATTGTGAAATATTTTATTTTTTTACAATTTTTTGAGATTCGTTCATTTATCATCATATTCTTAATTTTTATTTTATCGTTAAATAACTTTGCATTTGTGCATAGTATTCACGTCAATCAATTTATATAAAAATATAGTCATTATCTTATCTTCATCATTGTGTCTATTTAATTTTTCTTATTAATATATATATTTTTAAAATTTATCGGGTTTGATTGGATTATGTTAGGTTGGGTTTTAATTCATAACCTGAAACTCAATCCAATCCAACCTCAAATTTGATTTCTCAACCCAGCCCAATTGAACTTAAAAACCAGTCCAAACTGATCGGTTTGAGTTGAGTTCACCGAGTTGAGAGGTTTGGATTGGGTTTTGCCCATCCCTAAATAACAACACTTAAAAATAGTGGAAATTACGTTAATCCCTACTTTAAGTANAACTGATCGGTTTGAGTTGAGTTCACCGAGTTGAGAGGTTTGGATTGGGTTTTGCCCATCCCTAAATAACAACACTTAAAAATAGTGGAAATTACGTTAATCCATACTTTAAGTATTCAACATGCTAAAATCAGGTGAGAAGTTTAACATTTCAAAAATCAGATGTTTTATTTTATTTAATATTTTTATAAAATAAACATTTTTACTAAATATAAATACTCCAAACCCTAATTAATTCCCACTCTCCTCTCTCTCTCTCTACATTTCTTCCACAACCCGTCTCCTCCATCCATCCATTTTCTCTCTACACAACCGTTCACTTCCATTATTCCCACTCTCCTCTCTCACTACACAACCCGTCTCCATCGTCGCCGCTACCGTCTTCACCCAAGAAATGATGATTTCGCTGTATATGTAGACAAATGCTAGATTTATTAAAACAATGAGAATGATTTCGCTGTAAACGTCGTCTTTGGCCAGATCTGGTAGAACCACGATGGTAAGATGGGGTGGGGGTGGCCGTGGCCGTGGCATGCTATTGTGATGCTGTGGATGTGCAATGGCTGGGTGAGTTCTGTGATGTTGTGGGTGCGATAACGACAATCGACCGTAAATGATGGGGGTTTGGCCGGATCTGGTGGCGTCGTGATGGTAAGATGGGGTTGGGGTGGCAGTGGCATGCTACTGTGATGCTGTGGCGGTTGTGCAATGGTTGGGTGAGTTCTGTGATAATGTGGGTGCAGTGGTGGTGTCGTGGCGGTAGTGCTGTGCGTGGTGATGGTGTTGTGGTGCGGTGGTTTTGATATATGACGCTTGCATGGTGGTGGGTCGCAAGTGTTGTGCAGTGGTGGTGTTTGATGAGGGTACTGTGTGCAGTGTCATGGCGGTGGTGGGTGGAATGAGATGAGGGTGGGTGTCTGTGACCCGGGTGTACCGTTAAAACATTACAATTTTGTACAAGTAGAATTATCCAATAAATAATATGTGACCTAAAAATTGTGATTATGACTCAATTTATTAAGTTGTAATCGAGTTGTGACTAATAAAAGTTTTGATTCATGATCGAGTAATAACTGTGACCTTAAAATTCTTAATTTGTGATTAGGAAATAAATTGGGACAAAAAAATAATGTGACCTAAAAAATTGTTAATTTGAAATCGATAATTTGTGATTGTCTAATAAGTCGTGACTTGTAATATTTATGATTTGTGATCGATAAAAAAATTGTGACTGATAAAATTTTTTGATTTGTGACATACAAAAATTTTGATTCGTGGCCGATAAACTAATTGTGACCTATAAAATTTTTGAGCTGTGACCGTAAAATAATTTGTAACGTAAAAAATTATGATTTATGATCGAAAAATAATATGTAACTAACTAAATTGTGAATTTGTGACCATATTATATAATTCTGTAACGGTCATCGAAATAATTGTCGGAACGATCGCTGGAGAGAGTGGTGGCCGGAATGGTTGCTGAAATAGTTCTCAGAACAGTAGTGGTGGTAAATGTGGGGTGGATTAATTATATTATATTAGAATTAAATATTTATAATTTTATTTAATAATTTATTAATTCATAAATAAAAATTAAAAAAAATCTGATTTTTGAAATTTGAAACTTGTTTTCTTATTTTTGAAATGGCACATACTTAACATTTTAGAAATGAAATTTTTCCTAAAAAATATACATAAATACATGTAACTATCCACTTAAGCACAAGAATCTTTAGTAATATCAATAATTGGCACGTGATTTAGATAATCACAACAATACAATTGCAAGCAAAAATGGAAAACCCAAAATCAATAAATAAACATTTTATTCTTAGTAAAACCAATAATAAGGAAACCCTGAAATGAAACAGCCATAGCTTTATTTAACCTAATTTCAAGCAAAAGAGATTCAATCAAACTAAACATAACCAAGACAACTAATTTTTCATATAACCCGTAAAGTAGAATAAGAGTAGGAATTGGGAGGGAGCCGAATGTTGAGAGAAGAGAGAGAAACTGGAAAGATCATAGAAAAGTGTTGGAGAAGAGAGATATTTGAGGATATTTGATAAGGACAATTCTTGTGGTACATCACAAGTTACATCAGAGTGTCCATAACAGACACCCGGCGCTCTTTCATTGGTTGGGGTGCCGGTCCCACAAGCCCTTCCACCAATAAGGGGGTGACATGTGTCCATTATGGACATCCTTATGTATCTTGTGATGTACCACAAGAATAATTCATTTGGTAATAGTAGTCACAGTTAAACGTGTATTGCACGTTATTTTGAAATGCTTTATAAACGCTGTAAAAATAATATTCAATCAATTAATTCTTCAAGTTCATGTATGTACACTATATATATTTTGGGGGTTGTTCAATTACTCTAGAAATATTACAATTCAATTATTTATATAAATGTATGCATACTAATTAATATTTACTTATGGATATATTAAATATAGCATTAAGCCATCAAGTTCATGTGCATTTTTTGGGATCTATTCAATTATTCTATAAATAAATAAATTATTAAAGATCATATAATTTGGGAGCTATTCAATTATTATAGGAGTATATAAATTATTAAAGATCATATAATTTGGGAGTTTTTTAATTGTTATAGAAGTAGATAAATTATTCAAATTCACGTA